TGTATGCCCCTCAACTTAATTAATTGCTCGTTGTAAGTTATAAACTCTATTACAGTATTTTTTATACTACATATTACATATATGTATAACCTGTGTTTATATATGCTTGCTGACACAAATTCAGTTTTGGTCTAAAATATCTTTACCTTTGTTCTTGAAGAATATTTTCACAGGGAATAGAATTTTAGGCATAGTAGTTTTCTTTCTGTACTTTGAATATACCATTTCATTGTCTTTGGGCTTTCATTATTGCTGTTATTAAGCCATTTTATGATCTTTTACAAGTTTTTTTTTTTACAAGAAACTTTGTCTGTAGTACTTTTTAGACATCTTTGTTATCTTTCATTATTTTTAGCTATGTTTTTCTTTATTTATCTATTCTTCTTGGGATTTGTTCACCTAGAATCTGTGGGTTCATATCTTTCTTCAGTTTTTGGAAAATTCTCAATCTTTATCTTTTTATATTTATATACTGTCTTTTTCTAGAAATATAAATAAATATGGTATATGTTCTCTATCTATATCTTCTATGTCTTTTACTTTCTTTTTTGTATTTTTCTAATTTCCCTTGTTTCTTTTTCCCAAAGTTTTATACAGTTATTTTTTACATAGTTTTTTAGATCTATTTTCTAGTTCATGGTTTTCTTTAACTGAACCTAAGATACAGCTAAATTCACTTATTCAGTACTTTCTTTTGGACACTGTTTCAAAGCTGTAGAATATCCTTTTTTAAATTTGGTGTTGCTTTTTATAGTTTCCAATTGTCTGTTGGATTTTCAAACTTTTAAAAATATCTTTGAACAAAATAACTGCTAATTTCTTATGTTTTGTCTATTTCTTCTTCATGTTACATATGGATTTGGCTGTCTTTGATTGGTGGATATTTTATTTGAAAAATTACTTATAAAAGTTATTTAGTTAGTTTTGGTGGCATTCCTGCACTCCCAAAACTTGGGAGTCTGATACAGGAGGATCCTGCAAGTTTCAGGCCAGCCTGCGCTATATAATGAATCCAAGGCCAGCCTGAATTACATGTGAGGCCCTGTTTCAATAAACCAACCCCCTCACATTTAAAAAAAATTATTTGACCCCAGTTGTCTTCCTTCTGAGATTTTCATTTACTTCTTCTGTGCCCCAGAGGACACTACATTTCTAAGATTATTTTTATACACTAAGAGCTACTCAGGAGACTGGAAGCCAATCCACATTTCGTATGAGGGCTCATTTATTTCAGGACCATCTATGCCTCTTCAGTGCAGTACTTGATGAGGATATCCTAAAGCTCCAGGCCTTTTAGTTAGTAGCAGGCCATAGCACTAAATTTTTACCTTAGCTTTTTCTGAGTTTACACGTGGTATGCAAATACTCCCAAACCAAACATGGTCTTGAGTTCAAGAGTCGTTTTCCTGGCCATCTTTGCCCAGGTCTTGTCCTGAAAATTACCAACTGGTTTGTTTTATGAAGCTTTTGAGGTTTTTTTCTTTTAGTTGATTTTGTGATTTTTTAATTTGGTTTTTAATGAGTCCTCAGTAGAAGAGTTAGTCTGAGTCACCTAGTATGCTATCTTCAGAAAGACTTTAGATTTTTTACATATAGTTTTTTCATCCTGTTCCAGTATTTGATTTTAAGAGATTTTTGCTATGTTCACCATTATGATAGTTCCTAGTCACATGCAACTTTTGAACATTTAGAATGCTGAACAATTAAAATGTGTCTGACTTGAATTGAGATGTACTGTGAATATAAAATATATACCTATTTTCTAAGACTTACTACAAGTAAAAGAATATAAAATATTTAATAACTTTTATAGTGATTTCATATTGAACTAATACTTGGGATGCATTTGAATTAAGTAAAATATATTAAAGTTAATTTTATTTGTTGCTTTTTACCTTATTAATGTGACTATTTTTTAAATGACACATTTGACTTGCATTTTATTTCTGTTGGATAGTGGGATATCCAACTATTGGATATTCAAACAAATACTATGATAATGTTGTCAGATAGTAAAGTTATTAAGAATATAAGACTTGTAGACAGGATCTGATTCTGGCCTATATCATGTAGTAAGAGTGTAACTGTTTGGACTTAATTTTGCTTTAATTTTCACTTCTGTAAAACAAGAGTAATATAACATTTCAGAGGTCAAGGTAAAACAGCATGAAAGAAGGAAAGCACTTAGCATAAGGGTAACTTATAGTAAGTGTTGACAAAATTTAAACTTAGAGATATGCTTTTGTTATTACAGTTTCAGACTTTACACTTCAATTGGGCATTGTCTTTATTTTTTTCTTCTTTCAAAATTTCTGTTTTACCTATAGTAAAAGGGTCCTTAGCTAGGCACCATAATTTGACTAGGGACACATACATACAAACTAATTCTTTAAGAGAGAAAGAATACGTCTCAGGCAGATGTTCATTAGGTTTGTCTACAGAAAATTTTTTTATCATGGAGAAATTTATTTTCTTTCTTTCTTTCTTTCTTTCTTTCTTTCTTTCTTTCTTTCTTCCTTCCTTCCTTCCTTCCTTCCTTCCTTCCTTCCTTCCTTTCTTCCTTCCTTCCTTCCTTCCTTCCTTGTCAATTTAGCCAGTGTAGTGAAATCAGTACAGAACTTCACAGCATGTTACCGGGATAGCAGTAATAAGTATCACAGTATATCTCACAATAGTTGTTCTTTCAATCAGGTATAGCAAAATAAAACAAAATACAGAACATTATAGAACTTAACAAAACAATTTTGAATAGAGCAATACCATTAATCAGAATAAAGCAAAACAGTGGTAAAAATATTTGCCTTCAAAAAGAGAGTAGAAGGAAATCCCCTTTATTTGCTATATTGCATATGGTCAACCTCCCAAGAGATGCCAGACCTCTGGCTCCCAATTGCTAATGAGGGGGAGGGGTGGTGGGGGTGTTTGATTCTCAGCCGGTGTGCCGGTAGGCTCACTACCACTTACCAGGGAGGTGAATTGGTTGCTTGGTTTCCCAGCACCCTGAGTTCCAACATGGTGCGGATCTCAGGAGTCCCTGATGGTTCTCCCCCAGGGGCGACTGCAGTCTGCCTACAGAAAAATTTTAATGCTTCTTTATGATAGTATTGCTTAAAATACCTCTGTAGACTATGTGGAAACTATAACCCAGCTTTGTAATTGAAATCCAGACAGAAATCTCTTAGCTGGAAATTAGTGGTGTGTTGGAAACAGTATTGTTCTGGGACTTGAGATCTGGGCTTTAGTCCCAAGTCTATTATAGTATTTGTTTGGATTCATTTTCGTATTAAAATCTAGTTGGATTAGATTGTAACTCTAAAGTCTGCTCAAGGTTATCATAATGCCAATGTATCATATGGTTTGAATGTAAAAACCAGTTATTCTGGACTTTTCTAGCTTATACTGGTAAGAGGGAAGATATATAATAACTACAGGGACATGATAGGACAGAGACAGAAATTTTTTTTTTATACACCCAGGAAACCCTACAAAATACTTCAGGTTGAAATGCATTATTCTTTTCAAAGTTAATTTTAGTTTTACTAGAATCAAATGCAAGATTGTATTAAGGTATCAAGCTCAAGGATAGAGGAATACTTGGATTTTAACCCCAGCTTTACCATTAGATAACTAAGTCCTGAATCAGTTGTTGTTGTTTTGCATTATTTTGCTTTCTCTGTATGTAATAGTATGAAATATAACCATGTAACATGTCACTCAGAGTAGGTTCTTGAGAAATTAACTTTTTTGTTTTCTACTGTTTACATTAGTATTTGTGAAAGCATATTAGGGGAAAATAATTTAAAGTAAGAACAGAGATCTGTAAATTTTAAAAGCAAAACTTAGATCATTCTTGAAAATTAGTTGTATTTCATCTTCAAAGAATAGCTATGTGTTTGTTTTTCAAAACTACAGACTATTGAAAAAGATGGAGAATTCTTTTTTTGAAGCTAACACAACCATATGCCTATTAAAGTGAATTTAAAGCTAATAAAGATAATGTAGATACACTCACTGTACACATATACAGATAAATACATAATAGTTAAAAATAAAGCTAGCAGTGTATTAAAAACTATTGATCAGGAAGGATTTATCAAGGAATAGAAAATGACCATACAGTAGGACATCTGTACACAATCCATTATATCAACACAGTAGAGAAAAATTTGTGATCAAAACAAAGATGTACTTTACAAATAATCTGACTAAAATCCAGCAACTTCATAGGAAAGTACAGGGTAATTCAATAGTGGCACAGTATGCAATACTGGCAGTATGTGGGGGAATGGGAATACTTATTTTGATGTTAGTATACAGCTTTTGGGGGAAAAAAGATAAAAATGCACAGGTTCCTGTGGGTAGTCTCATTTTGCAAAATTATATGCAAAATTCTGTATTAGTGTATTGGTATATTAGGATATGTATGAAGGATATTTGTGTTACAGTTTATGATAAATAAAAACTGTAAACATTAATGACTGTTGATCACTGAAGGGACGCTATGAAATATGGGCAATATGGCTTTTGACCAGGAGGGATGTTCATAATGATATTGTTAAATTAGGATCTGGTGTGTCAAATTACAGATTATTGAGTAAATGTTAACCCTTTTTTTAGTCTTAAAAAAGCCTATGTATGTTAAATGTATGCATGAGCTATGAAAAATGTGTGGGAGAACTGGATTAAGATAGGAGATGGGGTTAGTGAAGTGGAAAACTTGTTTTTATAATTTGTTACAATGTATATTTAATATCTTTGCAGTAATCACGTTTAATGAATGGAAATTTGCTGAATAGATTCAAAGTATGAGAATGTGAGTTATAAAGATGTTCAATTTAGTTAACCAGGGACATGGAAAATAGAAAAGTATTATTCCACACCCTTTGCTGTAGAGATGTGACCATTTCCATTTCCAACTATTATAAGAAATTACTTCTTAACAGAAATATCTTTTATGTTTCACACTAGAGCTGTGGCATTAATGATTTTTTCTTTTGTAGCAACTCCGCTCCAATATTCGAGAAATGGAAAAGCTTTGTCTGAAAGTCCGAAAGGATGACTTGATACTTCTGAAGAGAATGATAGATCCTATTAAAGAAGAAGCATCAGCAGCAACAGCAGAATTTCTCCAACTCAATGTGGAATCTGTTGAAGAACTTAAGAAACAGTGCAGTGATGAAGAAACATTACAGCCTTCTTTAACCAGATCCATGACTGTTGGTGGTAATGTATTATACTAAGTCTTATTCTTGACCACGATAATACAGTTAATTAGAGTTTATCTCCTTGTGTAAAGACTATAATGTAGATTATACATCTATAATGTATAATATAGATTATACATCTCTGGGGATCACTTGCTATCCCAGTATGCTGAATCTTTGGTTCCTGAATGGGCTGGAAAAGTGTACCCTAGGGATAAAATTTCTGCAAGGATTAGAACTTCAGACCTTTAAGTACTTATTTGCCTAGGTGTAGAAAAGAAATTTTAAAATATTTCCGAAGGATAATGTCATCCTTTGTGTGCAGCTCACTTCTCACCCCTGTTGCTTTTTCTTAAGCATTTTGGTTTTCCAGGTTTATTAGATCTCTTGCCCAACTCAGTTGTCCAAATGTAACCAATAGCATAAAAAATGTACATTGGGAACTGTTCTTTCAACTTTTGTGAAAGAACTTGTGATTATATAATTTTTTTTAGAATATAAGTAATGTTGATCACTTTATAATAGCTTCTTTAATCTTGAAAAAAAATATTGGTGTAATATGTAGCATTACTTCAAAGTAACTCACGGTTTCCCTACTTGAGATGCCTACTAAAAAGCTTAAAGCCAAAATTTTTAACTATCAAAAATTAAACTTTAAAATTATACTGGCCTTACTTTATAATTGTTGCCATTGTTTTATTTTTTGTTTTCATTTTATAGTTTACATTTTAATTTTATTCTATCTTATTACATTGTATATATCATAAGATGGCTTTAATCCTAATGGAAATAGAGGAGTGTAATTACAAATTAAAGAGAACGTTAAGGATGCTACCCCTGCCCAATTTTTCTTTTTCTATATTCAGGGGCACTTCTGCCACACTCTTTATTTCCAAATCCAGGTTAGGTTTAATTGTATATTTTTAGTGCTAGGGATTTAGTAATTGCAGAGGAATTTTTTTTAACTTTGAATATAGTAAAATATAATAGAACAAGACAGAATAAAACCAATCAAGACAGTGCAGTGAAACTGGTACAGGGCTTCACAGCAGGTTACTGGGATAACAGTGATAGGTACCACAGTATGTCTTGTTATATTCACAATAGTTGTCCTTTCAATCAGGTATAGCAAAATAAAACCAAATACAGAACATCATAAAACCTATCAAAATAGAGTATTGAATAGAGCAATACAATTAATCAAGACAAAGCAAAACAGTGTTAATAATAATTGCCTTCAAAGAGATGGTAGAAGGAAATCCCCCATATTTGCTGAATTGCATAAGGTCATCCTTCCAAGAGATGCTCTGACCTCTGGCTCCCATTGGCTAACAGGAGGGATGTTTGATTCTCAGCCTGTGTGCTAGTTGACTCATGGCTGCTTACCGGGGAGGCAAGCGGGATTCCTTGCAGAGGAAGTTTTTAGAATTTAGGAAAACAAACATTCAGACCATCATCTGGAGTTTCTGGATAATCTTGTTTTGTTTCCTTAAGTAGCTAGCACAATGTTTTGCACACAATAAATTATTCATAAATATTTGATGAATGTTAGTATAAGTATCTTTATAGGGATAATTTTACAATTTCAGATGTGCTATACTTACTTCACTGTGGATAACCAACTCTTAGTACTCAACCCTTACTTGAAGAGTATTTGGGAATCATGTTTTTTGTTTGTAGTTACTGTTTTTGGTATTGGTTTATTTATTGGTGTGGATGAAGGATGTTTGTATCACCTAATGCAGACTGTGCAGAGAAACTGTCAATGCTTATGCAGAGAAACTGGGCCTTCCAGGTCCGTGTGACTACGGAACATAATCCGTTTGTTGTGACAGTTGTAATGGCAGTAATAACAGTAAAGATAAGCTGGATTTTCAAAAGAGTAGCAAGTATCAGTCTCTTTTACTATTTATCTTTCACTTGCCCAGTGACAATTCCCTATCAATCAAAATTTTAAAGTATTGAGTTTTCTCATAATGGTGTATAACAATAAACTAATACCCTTTAATTTGTATTTTATTTAGTTATTTATTTTATGAGATTTACAAAAACAAAACAAAACAATGAAAGCAATACAGGACTTCAAAACAAGATATTAGGAAAGGAAAAAAATTAGAAAATCAACAATAGCTACTATAATACTGTATCTTGTTATGTTCAAGATAGCTGTCCAGATCATCAGAAATAATAAAACAAAACAAAACAATGAAAATGATGCAAGCATGCAAAGCAAGATAATAGGAAATTAAGGCTACCATAATGCATCTTGTTATCTTAAAAATAGCTGCCCAGACCATGAGGCATGTAAAGTTAACCAAACAATACAAGAACTAAATTGAAATTTCAGGTTCATGACCAATAATTTTTACTATGTCTGTGTCTCTTGAACTTGTTCTGGGTGCAGTGGGAGGTCTGAGATTGTGTTTTGTTCCTTTGTCTTGACATTTTCCTGTTTTCTGTAAATCATCCCTTTGCTGCATCCTGGGCATTTCCTGCATTGGCTGCCAGTCCCACAGCAGAGTGAAGTGGACTAGGCACCTGTGTTCCTCTGATTCACAGTTCATGGAGTGCTGGAGAAGCTCGGAGCAGTGGTTCACCCATGTTCCCCCGATGACAGCAAAGCCTCAGGGCACAGCTCATTCTCCAGGCGTCACCGGGGTGTGGAAAAATACCATATCTCTCTTGTCCATTCTGCGGTTGATGGGCAAACCTACCCCTGCTTTTTTCTGGGTTTCTGTCACATGGAGCATTGTTCTCTCTCCTTTGACTTTCAGTCTGTGAATTTCCTTTTGAGTTAAATGTGTTTCTTGTATACAGTATATTAATGGATTTTGTTTCTTGATCCACTCTGCCTGTATTTTTTTATATTGGTGAATTGAGGCCATTTACATTAACAGCTTGACTGGTTCACTTGTTTGTCATATTATTTTCTTACTGTTAGTTCCTTACTTTCTCCTCTGTTTAACTGCTTGCTATGCTTGGTGATTTGTTTCTGTTGTTGTTCTTGGAATTATCATTTTTATCCCTTCTAGAATATCTTTTAGTACTCTTTGAAGGGTTGTTTTGATGGTCTTGAATTTCGTTAGTTGTTCTTTGTCAAAGAAGTATCCTATTTCTCCATTAATTTTGAAAGATAGTTCTGCAAGCTATATCAATCTGGTTTGGAAGTTGTTTTCTTTCAGGACTTCAAATACTTCACTCTAAGCTCTTCCTGACTTGGCTTGTGTTGAGAAGTCTGTTGTGATTCTGATGAGTTTTCGGGTTTTCTGATATATTTCTTTTCTCTAACAGCTTTTAATATTCTGTTCTTGTGCTGAATTTCTGGGATCTTGATTATTATATGACTTGGTGTAGATTTATTTTGGTTATGGCTATTTGGAGGTCTATATGCCTCACTTACCTGTGTGTCATGTCCTTTTCCCATGCTTGGGGAATTTTCTGCTGTTATTTCTGTAAATAGTCTTTGTGTCATTTGTGTTGATTCCTACTTTTTTTGCTGAAACCTTTCAGTATTAATTTATTTTTCTTTACCTTCTCTTGCAGTTGTTGAATTATTATTTCCTGGTTCCTTGTTATTTTTAAGAGATCCTTCATTTCATGATTGCTTTCTGCAATCCTGTCTTCAAGGTCTGAAAGTCTGTTTTCAGTTTCTTTCAAGCGGTTTTGCCAACTTTTAATAGAATTTTTAGTTTTCTGGGTATCTCCTTGAACCTATTTCATACGTTCTAATTCTTGCCTATATTGTTCATTCAAGGTATTCATCATTTTCCTATGTTCTTTTTTATCCATCTTTAGACATGCTCATCAATTCTTTCATTGTACTTGTCATTTCTTCTTTAACTTGAGATACTATTTCTGATCTGATTCCTTTTAGGGCCTCAGGAAGTTTTCTTTACCTCAATGGCTATCATTTCAGAAATTTCAGATTTGCCACTTTCAGTTTCTTCCTTGACTTGTTCTGTGTGGGACAAAGGTCTGAGATTGCATTTTGCTCCTTCTTCTTGACATTTTCCTAGGTTCCTCCATATGAGCCAGTTGTAGAGACCCAGATGCTTCCCATGTTTCATGGTCATGGCTGGTGTAGGGGCATGGGCCAGGCTGACCGGAGCCGCGGAAGACAGGAGACCAAACTCGAGCAGGATCAGCTCTCAAACTTTATTACGTACAGCGAACCGGACCTAACAAGGTCCGCCACCCTCAACGTTGATTCCTCTTCCGCCCGTTGGGGGCAGGAACAACCTCTTATAAGGGGAAGCAGTATCCAATCACAGAGAAGCGCGCCTAACAAGCTGATAGGCTAGCGTCACGGGTAACTGGGCAGACATGACAATTTGGCGGGCTTGTTCAGGCCGGGAAGAACCCGGAAGCAGGAAATGGGCGCCATCATAGGCGGCTTCCCACATCTCCCCCTTTTTTATTTATTAAAATAGGATGGTCTGTGGGTCCCTCCAAGGTGTCTATGACCTTGTTGTTGTTAGACACCTAGGAGTGGGCCTACCTTGTAGGCCGAGGCATGAGAGAATGTAGAGGTCTATACCCTGCTGTGCATCACCCTGTTTTGTGCATATCCTTGCGCCAGGACCATGCTCAAGGTGAGTGGTTCATTTTTTCGCAGGGCCAGGCTTTTGTGAACCGAACCTGGATGCATATAGACATTCATTCCTGCCTTCCCCCCAACCTTTGGGGCGGATGGCACTGCAGTACCCTTGGTCTCGCATCTCAATGCCAATAATTTGACTCCGGGAGGGACCCCTGGCCTTATAGGCCATGTATATCTGAGTGGAGCCTGTCTTAGGTTGACCGGGAGGGCTTTTCCCGTCTTACCCGTCATTAGCTTGCCCACTCAGCTCTTATAGCTGATGTTCTGCAATGTGAAGGAGATATGCGGCGGCCTGCTGGCCTGATGGGCCACCTGCTGCCATTTGCATGGCTGCCATGGCTGTGATCTTAACCTGCTGCTGAGTTTGTATGAGGCGATCTAACAAGCATTTAATAACCACAAGCCCTACTAGGATGGCC